AGAATTCAAACCAAAAAATACTAAAAGTGACAAAGAAGGACATTTTTAAAGGCTAAAAACTACAATTTGCAATACCTAATACAGCAACTACCTTTATGTAGGAGAAACTACAGGAGATGGAAGGAAAAATAGATAGAAGCACACTAATAATAGGAAAATTTAGCACACATCTGTTGGAACAAAACAGGTTAAGCAGACAAAAAATAAGTAAGAATACAGAAGATATAAACAACATAATCAATAAGGTAGATCTTGTGTGTGTGTGTGTGTGTGTGTATAAACATGAAGATATATATATAAATACAACTTTACACCCTAGTGCCCTTTCTTCTCAAGTGCACATGGAACATTCCTAACAATTTATCACATATTAGGTCACAAAGAAAGCAGCAATAAATTTTATAAAGTAGAAATATATCTAATACAATAAAAATAGAAATGACAAACAACAGAAACAAAAAGTTTCTTCCACCTGAAAATTTATTTTGAAAGGCTTGTATTAAAAAACTCCTATGAAAGGGGAAATTAATACCTGACTTAGAGAATTTCTGAAAGACAATAAAAACATTACATACATATTAAAGCAGTTATCACAGGAAATTTCAGTCATAAACACACTAATAAAAATCAGTAACAATGGAAGAATGAAAATAAATGAATTAAATTTACAACTTGAAAGTTAGAAAAAGAACAAAAAGTAAACCACAAGAAAATATGAGAAAGGAAGTAATCAAGATGAAAGCAGTAATTAATTAGGTAGAGAACTGAAAAGTGATGGGGATGTAATGATCACATCTTTGAAAAATTGACAAAATACACAAAAAAATCTCTAGGCAACCTAATTACGAAAAAAAGGGAGAAAGTACATGTTGAATCTGAGCCCCATGACTAGGGAGAGTGGACAACATACTTACGCACACAGAAAGGGGTCTTGCCCGACCAGTGATGATCCTGCTGGCAGATTCGCACAGACATGCCGATGAGGCGGAAGCCAGCGTTGCACTGGTATACCACGCTGCCCCGGTAGTTGTAGTTCTCCCCATTGATGTGTCCATTCACGATGGGCTCAGGAATCCCACAGTGTCCGGCTTTGGTGGCGGATGGAGGAAAAGAGTAAATCGAAGAGAAGCTCACAGACCACAGCCTGACCAGACTGAGTCCAGCACAGCTGGATGGTGCCTGTCTACCAACACTGACTATTCTGACAGGGATCACAATAGAGGGTCCCAGACAGAGCTGGAGAAAAATGTAGAACAAAATTCTAACTCACAAAAAAAAGACCAGACTTACTGGTCTGACAGAGACTGGAGACACT